TATATATATATATATATATATATATATATATATATATATATATATATATATATATATATATATATATATATATATATATATATATATATATATATATATATATATATATATATATATATATATATATATATATATATATATATATATATATATATATATATATATATATATATATATATATATATGGGATAAATCTTTTCGTTAGAGGTCTGAAGGAAGTAATGAAACTTCATGGGGGGATTGAAGCTAGGGATGATTTTTCGAATATTTTCACAAAGAAAGAACCCTCTGCATCTTTTCTGTTTGAGGAACTACAGGGCCAGGGGGTGAAGGAAGAACAGTTACTGAGCTCTATCTCCTTAGAACTCTTTGCGCATGACATTGCATCAGATACACTAAAAGTCAAATTTATAGAGGAGTCTTCTTTGGCAAATACTGGGGAGGAAGAAATGTTAGCACAAAGGCTATTTCAACCAGCGTTTGGTGCATATTTTGAAACAGTCTTCAAGGCAGTAGCTTGTCAAATTCAAGAGGCATTGGCAAAGAAAGTGATTATGGATAAAATTAAACAAGGTTTAGTCCAAAACATGTCGGGGAAACTACTGAGAGCAACTAGGGAGACGGTCAAAAGCATAGAGAAAAAGCAAATGGCTCTCCTAGAAGGTTCTAAATACCCAATTTTCATTTCATTCTCCAAAGGAGATGAACAGGTTGTTGCGGAGTTCTTAACAGGAGAAGAGGGCGAGGTCACTCCAGCCATTTTTGGTTGAGCACTATCATATTAATTTACTCTCTCGTTTTTGACATGATTATGGAGATTTTTTGGTCCTAGGGTTATTTGGGCATCATAGTACAACTATTAGGTCTTGTTGATCTCACTAGTTTTGGTATTTCTTTGCTGGTCTATTATTATGAGTTCCCAATGGGCTTTGTCAAAGGTACTTTAGGTTACCTTAGATCTACTTAGGGCCTTCGGATATTTTTCTTTGCAAATGAGGGGAAGAGGCAGTTGGAGGAGGTTTTTCTGTAGCAAAGGCAAATCACACATGGTTTTTGGTTCTTTTAGCATGTCTTTTACAACACTTTATCAGGAGACCAGGCAGTTGAATCTCTCTAGGGGTGAGCTGTGTACATTGGAACTTTGTTCTTGTACTTCGAACTACAGCACTAGAAGGGTAAGGGTGGTACACTTAATTGGCAACTTTCACTAGTTGAGTTTTTGGACCTCTCTTATTTACCCTTTAGCTCTTGATAGGATCTGAACCAGATTGGTGTGGAAAAGGTCCCCTATGGTTTTCATCTTCAGTGCTTGGCTCTGCCTCTTTTGTATTGTTACTTTTGTTGTTCCCTTAGCTTTTGGCCTTTTGTTCTTTCTGTACTTCACTTGGCCACGATGAAAGGGTTCGGCCACCCCCATCTCTCTTTTTTTCTTTGCTTTTTAATAAATGTTGCCTTTTATTTTATATATATATATATATATATATATATATATATATATATATATAAGAACTTTATTGAGATAAAAGTTACAACCAGGGTTCTGAGAGGAAACAAATATACTCTAAAAATTAGAATGAAGTGGATGTCTTGTTCTTTTCCGCCAGAATGTATCAATCTCCTAATCATCAAAGTCTTTGTCATGTATCAACCACTTCTTTTTCCGGTGAGTCCATGCCCAGGCCTGAATGAGCTTGCGTATTTGGTGGATAATTCAGTGTGGATTCATTGTTATCCCGCCATATGTGTATGTGTTGCGCGCCTTACAGAGATTCCATGAGATGAAACCTGGGAGTATAATTCTCAAGGCACCTTTGAAACTTTTCAAGTTACCTCTTAGCCACCATGAGATTGCATGCTGGCGTAGCACGAGGTTTGAGGTGTGCATGGGAGCATCAACAAGGCCTGCAAAAAAGTTCCACACTTTTTTGCTCTCATTGCAGTTCAGGAGGCAGTGGTCCAAATCTTCTTCGTTGTTGAGGCAGAAGCTGCAACGACTAGGTAGTGCCCGGTTGAATCTTCTATGGTTTTTAGGGAAAGGAAGGCAGTTGTTGAAGATCTTCCATTGGAAGAAACACAGTTTTGGGATTTGTGCTTTGTGCCAAATAAATTTGGTTGAGAGGAGCAAAGGGAGTTTCTCTTCAGTGGCATTAAAAGCATGTTTGAGGGAGAACTGTCCATTATCCCTAAGTGCATGTCCATTGTTCCAATGCATATGAGTTGTACCAAGAGAGTGCACTCTACATATTCTCTTCCAAGTTGGGGAGTCTGGGAGTCGTTCCTTGATGTTACCATTCTTCATGTACTTTTCTCTAACAAGTTCCCATAGACCTTGATCGTGCTGGGCTTTCCACCAAAGTTTGAGAGAGTATGCTGTCTCAATCTGAAGAAGGTCCCTGATCCCTAGGCCACCTGTAGTCCTGTTTTGGCATGTGAAATTCCAGTTCCTCCAGTGGTATTTAGCCCTACCATCCTTTTGGCCCCAAAGGAAATTGGCCATAAGGGAGTGGAGAGTTATATATATATATATATATATATATATATATATATATATATATATATATATATATATATATATATATATATATATATATATATATATATATATATATATATATATATTCTTTGAATCAATTATATTGCATATTGTAATTACATATATCATAATAGGCAATTGTATTGTGTAATGTAATTAAAAATATCCGAAGCTTCAGGATAACGTAAATGCATTATATTCCATATATCATTTTGATGGGATTAACCCGATCAGATGGCGGACCAAGAACGAGATATGAATCAGGAAGATATAATCACTCGATAATATTCTTCTATTGAGTATTCCATCGTCTCCCCCTTTACAATGGCGGGTTCTCTACCCTTTTATAGTATTTCTAATATTGTAATTAAAATTATACAAAGTGGAAAGGATTATGGAGATCATGGGGTTGTGATTCCCCCTTTTCCGGTCTCGTTCTCTTCCCATTTCGTCCACAACTTGATGATGTGGGCCACGTGTCCCATTCTTCCCTTGGACTGGGTCACCTTGATCTACTTGCCATATGCGCAATAACGGGCTTGGCCCGTCATCTCCGTCTGACCTACCTTTTGGGCTATTATGGGCCTGGAGTCGGGCCTACCGGACCCGATATCCATCACAAGCCCCCTAGTTTTCTGGCGACGTGTCGCTAGAAAACTAATGATGAGCCGCCTTCGGTTTTCGCGCCGGATCAGAAACGTCGCACTCGAGTGCCTCGTGTCCATCCTTTCAACGGATATAACCCCTTCTGGACCCATCTTCTTCTTCTCGTTACTGAATCTTAACCCAACCCGAATTCCGACTGCAATTTCCCCACATCTTTGCTTCTTCTCCCAAAATGGCTCCTACAGATCCCGAAACCTGGACCCATGGACCCTCCATCATCAAGGAGAACGAACTTCGAGAGGTGGCCGCGCTCCTGGGAAAGGGCTTCCGGGTCCACCATCCCGATGCCGTTGGGGGGATTAGTCTATCCCACAATCCAAATCCCCAGAAGTATATGGTCATGCAATATCATTCTGTGGAAAATGGGTTTAGGTTGCCCCTCCACGGTCTGCTTCGCGATCTCTACCTCCATTTCGAATTTGCTCCGGGTCAATTGACTGCCAACGCGCACAAGTATGTCGCGTCTTTCATCTTGCGGTGCTGCGCCTTGGACAGAATCCCAACGTTGGATGAATTCCTTCTCCTCTTCAGTATCGGTGGTACCCCTTCTACAGCCTATATCCCCACAACCATTTCCCAATTTTTGAAAAGGTCGAGTTCAAGCATGAGAAATGGTCACTGAGATACTTCGTTATTGAGTTCCCGGCTCACAGCCCCCTTGATCTACCGGGTGTTGTCCTCCGCCGTTCCATTTCCCGGACGAAATTTGCTGCAGCAGAATTAGCGGAGGGAGTGTACAACACCTTGAGAGAAAAAGAAGGTTTAGTTTCACACCACTCCCTTCAAGATGCCCAACTGTACAAGAAGGCGGGTTTTTACCACCCCCTAGGTCCTGACCCGTTTCCATTTGAATGTGTGCCTTCTCCCGAGAGATCGAAGGCTCCTTCTTCTGTAGAGTCAAACCCGGCCATGAGCTCTCCCGGGAATCAATTCCAAGGTAACTCCACTGCCTTGGCTATCCGCAAGCCGACTGTTGCTCTGGAGGCTGTCCCCATTTCTGCTATCCCTGGGTTGAGGAGGCCCATTCCGTCCCAGAAACGGCCACGAGAAGGGGTCATAGATGATGACTTCCTTCCCAAGAAGAGTAAGGGTGGTGGTACTCCTGCTTCGCCCAGCCCCCTGTCTACTTTAGGTAGTCAGAATACCACCCCCGTTGCTGCACCCGGAGGTTTTGAGCTACCCAACCCGGATAGCTTGGACCATCAGGCAGATGGACTCTCAGACCAAGCACCACTCAACAAGCCAGTGGCGCAGTCTCAGCCTGAGGCAAACAATACCTCCCCACAAACTGCAACTGCTCCCCCAGAAGTGGAGGAAGAAATTGAGGGGCAGAAAGAACCAGAGATTTCTTCTGCGACGGAGAAGGAGGTTGACGCGCAGACGGAACTAGAAACTCCCCCCTTGAAGGAGATTGAGGTCGAAGAGCAGAGGGCTACGGGAGCTCTTCCAAAAATGACAAGAAAGCCCGAGAAACAATCAGAGCCGGAAGGACAGTGCTCTACTCCCACACCTCCAGCCTTCAATGTCCCCATCCGGCGTAAGTTCACACCGCAAACTTATCCCGCTTTCAAGGAAGGATGGGCTGGGTTCTCTCGCGGTTTGATCTCTATGCAGGCCTCCCATGGGACCATTCAAGCAAATCTGGAGAAGATGAAGGAGTCGTTAAAGGAGCCCACAATCCCTCAGGCTCGTCTCGACCTGCTTGCCCTCAATGCTCTTTACTCCATGGAGCAGGTACTCTTCCCTTTCAAGAATCTCTTTACCTCTTTGTAGTTACTTCTCTCTTGACTTCCTTTCCCCTCCCCAGGCCCAACAATCACTCCTCACCCTCACTGAGGAGTACCTGGGTGGAGCATTAGGGAACTACCGGGCCGTGGTGGCCCTGAAGGAGAAGGAGTTGGCGGCCAGGGCTCTGCAACAGAAAGTTGATTCTCTAGAGCAACTAGCTCAGGCCCTTCGAGAAGAAAATGCTCGGCTCAAGGAAAATAGCTCTACAGAACTAGCAACTGAAAGGTCCAGAGTCCAGTCCCTTCAAGAGCAAATTGCTGCTTATAAAAGGGGGACTCAAGATCTGGAAATGCAGTTCGACAGATTCCGGGAACAAATCTCCATTCTGGAATCAAAGGCCTCAGCTTCAGAAGACAAAGTGGGAAGTCTGGAAGCTGAATTGGTTGACAAGGAGTCCCGGATCTCTGAGCTGGAGAATTCCCTTCGAGAGGCCAAGCATGAGGGTTCCCGTCTTAATGAACTCGCATTAAAATAGATGGAAGCGAGACGACTCGCCCTCGAGAAGTTGAAGGAAGAGAGACAGACTGCAAGCGAGCTCCGGTCAAAGAAGGATGAACTGGAGAAGGCTATCGCTGCCCATCAAGAGGAGGTTGTCACCCTGTCTGCCCGTGCTGAAGCCCTTTATGAAGAAGGGAAATTTGACATGCAACACTGCATTTATGAGGCGATCCGGAGTGGTCTTCCAGCTCACCGATCCTTGGATGATTTCATCTCATACTACGGGTTACCTCTTCCTCTTTCTCCCCCGGATTCTCGTGTGGACCCGGGGTCTTGACTTTATCTTTCTCTGTTGACTGTTGTATTTCGCTTTGTAACATTTAGATGGCTGTAACTTGATAACGCTTGATGTATTTCCGTCTTCACAGACTCCTTTTATTAAGCTAACTGTTCTCCTTTTGGGATTCTTGCTCCGCCCTAGGACTTAGCAGTTTTTTTTTATCCGCCTAGGCTTTGGGCTTAACTGCATTCACAATGTACTATTTTTCTTGTTTATCATTGCACTAAGTGACTGGCCCACTTTAATTACGCCGGGCCCAGTTCACCCTAGCCCAATAATAAGATGAGGCGACCCTAGCTTTCCTCGGGAATCCGCAACCGCCTCCCAATCGGATAAGCACTCTGGCTCCGCGTCCTTTGCACTTCTCCTTTGGCTAATAATGCCAACAGAGTTGTCTTCATTGATCTTACTATTTCCGATTCTTCTTCTGATTCTTCTTCATTGGCATTCCCCTCACTTGGGGCCCCAACACCTGAACTCTCTTCTGGGCCTTCTCTCGCCTCTGAACAATTGGTGACTTTTCCCTTGCCCAGGGAGGAGAATCACCCTCATCTCCCCCAACTGGAATCAGGGGGTGCTCTTCCGGGTTCCAGCGCCCCTCCTAATGGTGCCAGAACGGAAGTTTCTTCTAGCTGTCCTGGCACGTCCCGTCCGCAGAAGAGACGCAATCCCCACTCAGGAGCTTCCCGGTTAGTCTCTGGTGCGAGGCCTTCCTCCCAGGGTTCCCCCTCCCCTTAGCAGTCATATGGACAGCCATCTGAGGAGTGGGGGGACTATGACATGGGGGGAAATAGGCTTCCGTTTATACGCAGGGAAAAGGACGGAACCTTCCGGGATCCGCCTCCACCTTCCGTATAAGCGGAAATAGGCCTTGAGTCCCTCCCTCATGCCTTATCGTCCTCCTTGTCCGTCTTCATGGGAGTGACTGGATGGTACCCACGGGGGAATGGCTTTCAATCCCAACCCGTTAGTACCCTTTCGCCCCTTTTGAATGTCACCAAGAGAGAATGGTGGGCTTTCTTCACACCCCCCCGCTCTGGGGTTCTTTTCTGGTTCACGCAGGAAAGCAAGGGTCAACGAATACACTCCTTCAAATTCTAGAAGTGTTGATCCGCCTTGCCCTCAGATTCTTCCAGTTAGTAAGATAGGAGTAGATCAGGGACAAAGTTCATTGTTGTAACCCAAAAGAATGTAATCTTCTGTTTGAGTTATTTAATGAAAATCTTTATCTCCCGTCTCTTTTTTGTTTTGTTGCTAGATCTGGGATAAGGCCCATTACTGTAACCCAAAAGAATGTAATTTTCTGTTTGAGCTATTTAATGGAAAAACCTTTATCTCCTGTCATTTTGTTGCACGTGCCGTCATCTGCATGAAGTAGAAGCCTAAGTTTATTTAACTCCTTACCTTCCACGGATGACGTCTTTCCAAAAACGCAGATGGGACCAACTAACTGGCACATGCACTTAAGTGGCGAAACCCCTGGTCAAACATCGGGAATCTTCGACCGCTTCGTTCACCAATCGCTTTGCCCATCACGCCTTTTAATCGCATTCACCATTTCCCAACTATTCCTTCCCCTTTCATTATAAATGGGAAAGGATGGTTAGCTGCTAGTCCATCCCTTTCTGACTTCTTCACCATGGCAAGTAAGTCTCGGAGAAAAGTCGTCATCGGCTTAACCCCTTCCGGGACATCTTCTTCTTCGGATGATGATTCCTCCGCCTCTCCGGCTCAGTCCAACGACACGGCTGGGTTGAGTCCCGGCGAGTTCTCAAGACTTTATCCAACAATCGCCTCCCTGCACCATCTCCTCCTAGTCCACCCAGGCTCCCACCCGGAAGGATAGACAGGGGCTCGATGACCCTCCAAGACTTCGCCTCGTATCAGAGGATGCGCAGGGCTAGACTTCGGCGTTCTCTGCCAATTGTTAAGGTAGAACCTTCATGTGAAAGCCGGACTGCTTCTCCAAGCTTGCTGAAGTCTCCCAACGATGATTCTTCATTAAGGGTCACAGCTCCCCGTCCTGGGACATGGGAAGACTATGACATCTGGGAGGCTGCTGATTCCACAACGTGTCCCTCGTCAAAGAGAAGGAGCCCATGGAAGGGACCCCCACCTCCTTCTTGTTGACTGCATGGATGCAATAGGCCCTCCTTCAGTGCCTAGGCCCCTGCAAATCAAATTTCTTTTCCTCATTTTATATCAAGAGGCATTCACTTGTTTCGTCCAGGAGTTTTCCCCGCGTTCCAAACTAAGGAATGTTCCTTAATCTCAAAGATACAACCCCCAAATTAACAATCGATGAACTCTCTTATTTTCTTTTCTTTTTTATCTTACTAGGAACCTTTCTTGTGAACCAAAAATGTAAACTTTGGCCCATCAATGTGGTCCTTAATAGTTGTTTCTTTGCATCTTTTTTAATTCAAGTATGTAAATCATTCTCTGTATAAAATCTCATCTCCCGGGGTTTGGACATGCCAGGGGAACTTACCTCATCTGCCCCTTGCCTCCTTTCCTCCGGGTTAAGGCATACTCTTATCTACCTTAGATCAGTTGAGCTCCAACCCTCGAAGTTTTTTTGCTCGGTTGATCTGTGCTGGTGGAATACTAAGCTTCAGCCCTCGAAGTCTGCTTGCTGTTCTTCCTGAATTCTAGATTGTAATGGCCCTCAAAGTCCAATCCCAACCCTTCCTTCATTTTTGACGGAGGCATAAACTTATCTACCTCCGGGGGGGCATAAACTTGTCTACCTCCCCTATTTTTAGCAGGTGGCATAAACTTATCTACCTCCCTGTAATGCGGGTCTATATCGCCTGGGGGTGCTCCCCCCCCTTTTTTTTTGAAAGAAATCTATAGAACAATGAAATCGCAAAGGCACTTGGCTTGAAAGTAAAGAACAATTTACTGAAACAAACAGCTTAAATAGAGCGTTTTTACAAAATGGTTCTTACTGATAAAATTTGACCAAGTGCTCTACATTCCATGTCCTATCAATTTCTTTCCCCTTGGTAGTCACCAACTTGTAGGTACCTGTGCGAACAACGGCCTTGATGATATAAGGTCCTTCATACTTCTTAGCCAGCTTCCCACCCTTAGTTGGTTGACTTTTCTCTCGTTTCCTCAGGACGTAATCCCCTACCTGGAACGCCCTTGGTTTCACCTTGCTATCAAAGTAAGATTTCACCTGGCGACGATAATTCTCTGCCCGGATCCGTGCTTCATCCCTTCGTTCCTCTACAAAATTTAGCTCTACGGCCTGATTCTGTTCGTTCACCTCCAGGTCATATTCCATTTCTCTCTTGGTGGGGATTACTACCTCAGCGGGAGCCCGGGCTTCAAAACCATAAGCTAAGCCAAAAGGAGTGTCACCCGTAGCTCTCCTTGGAGTTGTCCTGTATGTCCATAGGATTCTGGGTAGTTCATCTACCCATTTGCTTCCTTCTGAAAGTAGCTTCTTCTTTATTCCGTCTATGATTGTTCTGTTGACGTTCTCCACTTGTCCATTACCCTGAGGATAGGCAACAGACACCTTTGTATGCTGAATTCCCCAAGTTTTGAGGAAGTCTTGAAACTCTGCTTCCTCAAACTGGGTTCCATTGTCAGATATGATATGTCTCGAGACCCCAAACCTGCAGAGTATGTTTGTTCCGACGAAGTCGATCATCTGCCTTCTGGTAATCCCAGCAAGTTGCTCAGCTTCCACCCACTTGGTGAAATAGTCTATTGCCACCACAATCCATCTTGCCTGCCCAGCTCCTTTCGGCAGGGCTCCCACAATATCAATCCCCCATCTTGAGAAGGGAATCACAGAGCTGACGGGCGTGTAATTCGTGGCTGGCCTCCCGGGCATATTCTGGAACTATTGGCAGGTCGGGCACTTGCGTACGTACTCTTCGCAATCCTTCTTCATCGTTGGCCAGAAATATCCCTGAATAATCGCCCTTCTGGAGACAGAGTATGGACCATGATGTGCAGCACACACTCCTTCGTGTATTTCTTCCATGAGTGCCTTTGCCTCTGCTGCCCTGAGGCAACGGAGTAAAACACCGTTGTAAGATCGTTTATAGAGGACTCCATCCTGCACCTTGTAGGTAGGTGCCCTCATTCGCAACAGACGTGCTTCCTGGGATCCTCCGGGGCTTCACCGTCCTCAATGTATTTGGCCAACCTGTCCAGCCATTCCGGGGGATCAGCTGATACCCAGATCACCTCATTTCTGTTAAGACTCGGGGTTGCCAGCTCCTCGACGTTTGCTAATTTGCTTATGTATTCTGGTGACTCTGCGCTGAGCTTGGATATAACACCAGCTTCCGCGTTCTGGGCCCGGGGTATGTGTTCAAGCTCAAACTCAAACTTCCCCAACATTTCTAAGGACAAGTCTCGATACCTTTTCATCCTTTCTTCCTTTGCTTCAAACTCCCCAGTGATTTGTCCCACCACCAATCGGGAGTTGCTGTAAACCTGAACCCTGGCTACCCCCAACTTATTGAGAATCTTCAATCCGTTGATCAGGGCCTCATACTCAGCTTCATTGTTGGATACGCGGAATTGAAATCTGATAGCGTAATAAATCCGGAAATTTTCTGGAGTGGTCAAGACGATACCTGCTCCGCAAGATCGAGCTCTAGAAGATCCATCGATGCTCATTACCCACCAGTCATTTTCCACCCAGGTTTGAATTTTGGCTCTTGTCATCTCCCTGGCAGTGCACTCAACTTGAAAGTCGGCGAGTGTCTGCCCCTTGATCGATGGGCGCGGCTTGAACTCCACGTTATACTGACTGATGAAGACTGCCCACTTGGTCATCTGAGCATATGCCGCCGGGCTTCAGGCAAGTGACGCCAAAGGCTCATTCGTGAGCACAACAATCCGGTGAGCCTGAAAGTACGGAGTTAATCTCTTTGCTGTCCAGAAGACCGCTAACATGGCCTTCTCTGGACGGGAATACCTTAGCTCCGCATCTCTCAGGGTCTTGCTGACGTAATAGACCGGATGCTGGGCCCCATGCTCTTCCCTCACGATCACAGTACTTAGGGCACAGTCCGCAATTGCCAAGTATAGAGTCAAAACATCTCCAGGTTCCGGCTTAGATAAAACCGGCGGACTTGCGAGATATCTCTTCAGTTCTTCAAATGCTTCTTGACATTCCAGTGTCCATTCGAAGGTCGCCCTCTTCTTGATCACCGCAAAAAATGGGTGCGCCTTCTGTGCCAGCCTTGAAAGGAAACGATTCAAAGCCGCCAATCTCCCTGTCAGCCGCTGAACTTCCTTTGCTGTCTTCGGGGGTTCCATCTCCATAATAGCCCTTACTTTCTCCGGGTTTGCCTCAATTCCTTTCCGGCTAACCATGTGCCCAAGGAATTTCCCACCCTGAACAGCAAAAATACATTTCTTCGGGTTCAATCTCAGATTTACCTTCATCATGATTTCAAAGACCTCTTCAAGGTCCCGGACATAGTCTCGGGCCTCTTTGGATTTGACAATCATGTCATCAACATACGCTTCCATGGTCTGCCCTAAGACAGCCTTGAACTCCTGAGAAACCATCTGGGTATATGTCGCCCCGGAATTTCTCAACCCAAAGGCCATCACCAAGTAACAGTACAGCCCTTCTAGGGTCATAAAACTTGTCTTTTCAACATCAGTCGGATGCATCCGAATCTGATGGTAGCCACTGAAAGCGTCCATGAAGCTCATTAACTCTGATCCGGCAGTCTCGTCCACCATCTGATCAATGTTGGGGAGAGGAAACGGATCCATGGAACATGCCTTGTTCAAATCGGTGTAGTCGACGCACATCCTCCACGAAGGGGGCTTGGGTGCCAGAACTACATTTGCCAACCAATTCGGGTACTGCACCTCCCGGATATGCCCAATGCTCTGCAGGGCCGCTACCTCCTTTTTCACGAAATCTCTTCTTTCCTGCAACAAATGCCTCCGTTTCTGCTTCACTAGTTTAGCATCCCGCAGGACATTTAGGCGATGAACTACAATCTTGTGATCCAGCCCTGGCATATCAGCTGGACTCCATGCAAAGACCCTCCTGAACCTTCTAAGGACTGAAATCACTCGTGATCTGAGTTCAGCCCCCAGCCCCTTTCCAATCCTAACCAACCTTCCCGGCATGCCTGGCTCCAGTTCCACTTCTTCAATGTCGCCAGCAACTTCTACTCTAGGACGTTTTTTCTCAGCCCTCAGGAGCTGCGCAGTCACCTCTCCCACTTGGGTATCGTACTTGACTGGCTGTTTAGTTGCCTTCAAATACCATGCCCGGGACACTCTCTGAGATCCCTTGGCAATTCCAACTCCGTGGGGGGTCGGGAATTCTATGCATAGGTGACGAGGTGAGATGACACACTCCAAATCTTCCAACCCGGGTCTGCCGAGGATGATGTTTGTGCTGGAGATTATCCCCACCACAACAAACTCCATGTCCAACTTCCGGGTAGCCTTAGTATCCCCTATCTCAACCGGGAGGGTTATCACCCCCTCTGGTTCAATAGAGTCACTAGTGAACCCGGTTAGTGGAGTTTTGATGGGTGACAATTCATCCCTTATCAAACCAAGAGCCTTGTACGTATCCATATACATGATATTAACGGAGCTTCCCATATCCACAAGGGTTTTGTGGATCAGTAAGTCCATTATATCAATAGTAATCACTAGGGCATCCTTACGGGGGACCCCTGTCTCCGGAAGATCAGCATTAGAAAATACAATTGACTCAGTTTTCAGCTTCTTACCTTCTGGGACCAGCACCTTGTTGACCATCGCCGCGTTTGCCCACTTCTTCTGGCTTGCGGCTGAGTCTCCGCCAGTATTCTCTCCAATGATGAAGTTACACCCGTGGTGTCTCTTCTGGCGATGCGGTGCAGGTTCCGAATCCTCCTCTTCATCTTCAAGCCCAATGTGGCGTTTCTCCCGGGTCTGAGCCTGGGCCACTTCTTTATCTCTGCGCTTTCCATTCGGAGCATTCCCGGGATTTCCCGCATCTCCATCTTGCACGAACTTCTTCAGATGACCCCGACGGATTAGCCTTGCCATCTCATTCTTCAGGGTATAGCAATCTTCCGTATTGTGATCATTCTTGCGATGGTAAGCACACCACTTTCCAGTATCCTCCACATTACAGACCTTTTGAGAATAGGTTGGATAAGTCATGAGTCCCTGCTGTGCAACGTGGGCCATGACCTCAGCCACTGGTAATGTGAAGACTGGATTGGCAGATTTGTGCTTCTCCGAGGTCCCAGGACTTGTGCCCCTTGGGCCATCCGGGAAACCCTGCTTCTTATTTTTAAACGGCTTCTTATTTCCGGTCTTCTCTTCTTCTTTGGGAGTCTTCTCTTTCTTTTCCTCCTTTCTTTCTTCCAGGGTCACATACCTCCCCGCCCGGACCATTGCTTCTTCGAAGGTATCCGGGGGATGAGTAGTAAGATCGGTGTGAAGGAGTCCATCCTGTAATGCCGCTGTGAACATAGACAACCTGGATTTATCGTCGGTTCCTTCAACCTCCCTGGACTCTTTCCTCCATCGGATAAGGAAATTCTTCAAGGATTCTCCATGCTTCTGACGTACTGAAGCTAAGTGAGTGAAATGCTTCTTGGGACGGCAGTTCCCGGCAAAATGCTCTAGGAACCGTAGTCCCAATTCATCCCATGTCCGGATCAACCCGGCAGGAATATGGTTGACCCAATCCGCGACCTTGCTATCAACTGTCTGCAAGAAGCACCGGCACATGAGTGCGTCACTGGCGTCTACGGCAATCATCACCTGGACATAGCTGTTTATGTGTTCCTGCGGGTCTGACTCCCCATCATAACGCTTAACGAACGGCATTTTGAATCCCTGCGGATATGGTTCCGCAAAGATCTCCGGGGCCAGGGGAGTATTCGTCCGGGTAGTGAATACTCGACCCTTGTTTATCTTCCTCTGCATCTCCCGGATCTGCTGCCTCGATCCTGGAACTCACCAGTTTCCGGTACCGGCGGCCCCAAACGCCGTGGCGCTGGGACCCTGGCTTGGCTTTGAACTTCGTCCTCCTCCAAATTCACCATTGACCGGACCGGCGCTTGGATCCCACCACGGCCGTTTCGCTGCCGGGGTTCGCGGTTAGAAGATGCCACCTGGCTAGCCTGGGGTCATATCCAACCCTAGGGTGCCTTATCCGGATTCTTCAAAGACAGATCCTCGCGGGTTTTCGTTTCCATCGCCGACGATCCGACTTGCATCCTTGGCTCGGTCCTCATTCACCTTACTATTCCAAGCCAACTCCTCCGCCCGGCGTCTAGCAATGGCTCGACTCTCCCTCTCAACCTCTTCCGGATCATGAAGCTCCTAGAGGATAGGAGAACTCGCAGTACGCAGTACCTGACGGGGTTGCCCGGCAGGGATGTCCCGGATACCGGATGGACCTGGAAGAGCCTTATCCAATCGTTCCATAATGTTGGCCATCATGTTAGCCACATTATTCAATGTTGTTTCCAACCCATTGACAGGAACGATCATACCCTGCTCAGGGTTGTCACTCCTTACTGTCGACTGGGCGGAAGCAGCAGTGTTACGTCTTGTCCTTCGTCCGGCCATAATCTCACAGCCTTATCTCACAGTAACTCTCAATGGAAGCACCAATGATGGGATTAACCCGATCAGATGGCGGACCAAGAACGAGATATGAATCAGGAAGATATAATCACTCGATAATATTCTTCTATTGAGTATTCAATCGTCTCCCCCTTTACAATGGCGGGTTCTCTACCCTTTTATAGTATTTCTAATATTGTAATTAAAATAATACAAAGTGGAAAGGATTATGGAGATCCTAGGGTTGTGATTCCCCCCTTTTCCGGTCTCGTTCTCTTCCCATTTCGTCCACAACTTGATGATGTGGGCCACGTGTCCCATTCTTCCCTTGGACTGGGTCACCTTGATCTACTTGCCATATGCGCAATAACGGGCTTGGCCCGTCATCTCCGTCTGACCTACCTTTTGGGCTATTATGGGCCTTTATTTGGGCCTGGAGTCGGGCCTACCGGACCCGATATCCATTACATTTCATACAGGATTACTCTTGAAGTTTCAAAGAATATAATTTTCCATAGCTTATGTTTCGTTTTGACTTATGATTGTAAAAAAAGTTAATGTCAAACATTTGTATTAAATTCATATTATTATTTCATAAGCGAGAGTAAAAATAATTTTCAAATTATTAGTTTTACATGTCTTTGGTAATCTTTATAACTTCATAAAAAATATTTTATACCTCAACATGTTTCAAAATATTCTAATTTAAATAAGACTTTAAATTGTTAATTTTTAATTGTATATAGTAGATTTTTTATTAGCGACTTCAATATGTTTTATGTTGTTTGATATTTGAAAAATTTTGTCACGATGAAAAATAACAAAAACAAAAAAATAATTGTTCCACCCCGTGCATGGTACGGGTCAAAATACTAGTAATATCATAAATTTTAATGACCCTAGAGTATATTTTGGATAATGTGACATTGAGAGTTCTTACTAGAAAATCAAGGGTACTCTATAATACATTTCAAATAATGTGGGACTCATGAGTCATTACCAGAAAATTGATGGTACCCTTGAGTAATTTTCTACTTTGTACCCTCTTGACATGTTTTTTAAAAATATATTTGATTCACATTAGTCATTTTAAATAAAAGTAAAACATAGAAAAAATATTAAAATAGGAGTTCAATATTTTTATTTCGAAATAGAAGTTTGCATTGTAATAATGTGATATTGTATATAGACATTTCACAATACTTTTAGATATGGGAAAAAGATTAAAATAAGAGTAAAACATAGAAAATGTATCATAATTGGAGTTTCATATTTTTATTTCCAAAATAAGAGTTAAAATACATTTACAATGTCAACTATGCCAATATATAATACCAAAAATTATTGTGCAATTTTTACATACAGTACCATATTATCATAGTGTAAATCCTAATTTTAGGGATAAAAATATGGAGCTTGTATTTTGACATTTTCTCTATGTTTATTTTTATTTAAGGTGATTTCTAGACATTGTATATGAATAATAAATAATAGGGTCATGCTACACTTACACAAAAAATTGTACCCCATTTGTACACCGCAGTTATAGACAAACATTTTGATAGTTTACACCGACATAAGTGTTGGTGCGTTAACAAAAATTTACACGGACACACAGTGTTGGTGCATTAATAAAAATTAGTTTTACACCAACCCTAAATGTCGGTGCAAACCTGCGGTATACAAAATGGGATACAAACATTTGGGGTACAAATAGCTTTATGAAATACTCCTTCCGTCCTAAAATTAACTCCCCATTTGACTTTTCACGGTCTCCAATGCGATACTTTAACCATCAATATTTCAATTTTTATATAAATTTATTTTATAAAAATTACATATTTCAAAACTGTGTTTCAAAATGAACCTATTGCTAATAAATTTATATGAAAATTCAATGAATTTTTTCTGTAATAAACAGTTAAAGTTCAAAAAGTTTGACTACAAAAGTTAAACTTGGAAATTAATTTTAGGAGTGAGGTAGATTCTAACTTCAACACGCGCACGCCTTTCTCCTGCAGCGTTGGGTAGCAATGGCTTATACGAACAAGGGAGACGTTCTAATGCTTGAGGCGCCGCCTGAGGCTAGGCCGGCCTGGTCCAGCGGCTCAGAGCTAATCGACGCTTTACCGTACATCGACGACGACTATGGTGATCCGAAGGTCAAAGCAGAGGTGGACCGTTTGGTCGATGAAGAGATGCGCCGCAGCACAAGAAAGCCCTCAGATTTTCTCAAGGACCTCCCTCCTCTTCCCAAGTTCATATTCGAGGTATTTGTATACACATATAACTTCATCGTTTCAGCGCAAATTCCCATTTTCAGGAGTCTTGAGCTGTCGATTTTCTGTTTGCATCTGGCATTCTAGCGGTTGAATTTGGAACTTGATTCGTAGCTCAAATTTGTATGCTATTTGCAGAACCATCCAATGCTTGCAAGGGAATATGAAAGGGTGAGAGCCGGGAAGCCTCCTGTGCAAATTGACACTTCAAGATATGGACTTGAAGAGCCCCAGGGAAACAAAAGGAATGATGAATCTACGTGGAAACAAGCTCTCCAGAAGGCTCAGAGCTTGTTGCAGCATCAAGTCATAAGGTATTGTTCACACTTATGTCTTACTCATTAGGTGTTTGATAAAATGCCCTACGGTGACTCGTATTTATAAATGGGAAACAATCATGTGATTAGTTTATTTAGACAACCCTAAAAGATTAAACTGTGTGACTTTGCTTTGTTGTTTTATCTGTTATCCCATTACAACTGTTTGAAATAGGACTATACCTAAAATTAAGCATGTGAACTAGGGCATTGACTAAAATTGAGCATATGTAAAGTGGTGTATCTGGATGCTTGTGTACCGTCTTGCTCTACATGCTTGTGCTTCTCAAGTAATGAGAAGTAGGACTTCAAAAACATTTCGAAGTCTAATAATGTGTGGATGCATATACACTTTGATGGCACAATGGGAAAAAGGCATGCCTAAGCATGTCTCTTTAAAAATAATACTTGGCACACATGGACATACAAGGGACATTTTTATGATGATAGGTTTGAACGAAAATGGATGGTAGAGAATTCTATTTATTTTTAGAGAAGACTGTTGTTATGGTTGCGCTCACCTCATGAAGACTTTGCAAAGAATAGTGATGTTGTGAAGCTTTAAAAAAGAAACGTGCACAGTAAAAAAAGTCTCCATGTGGTAAGCTCAGCTCTAACAACCTCCACGCCCTTTTCTTAAGATACTTTTTATTTTCTTTTTCTCCTTTTTTGCTTTCTTGACACAAGTTCTTTTAAAAAAAAATTGATCACTCGGTCAGGGTTGCGCTTGCTAATTCTCGTTGTCATCATCATTCTTTTCTAATTCTGGTTCAGTCATTACTTTTTAGTTATTGTTCTTATTCTCATTTTTCCAAATGCTCATTCCTATCTTATTCTCAGTCATTATCATTTTTTTCTAATTCTCATTCAGTCCTTTTTTAGTTCTTGTTCTCATTCCTTTCTAATCCTTATTTCCATTCACATTCCATCCAAATGCTCATTCTCTCTCCTTTCTCATTCTCATTCCTTTCTATTGGCATTCTCATTTCTTTTCAATCCCCATTCTCATTCCTCTGTAATTCTCTGTTGTTTTCATTCTCATTCCTTTCTTATTCTCATTCTCCTTCATTTCTGATTCTGATTTTTGTTCTCATTCCTTTCTAATTCTTATTCCCATTTCTTTCGAATCCCCATTCTCATTACATCATACGTGATAGAGAAAATCCAAAGAGGAGTCAAAGGTGAAGTGCTTTGAGTGCTGAGGTAGAGGTCACTTTGCATGATGCAATAACAAGAAGGTTATCACATTTGCTGAATTCCAGGATCTTCTTTATTCTTAAATAGTGCTAGCATAAATAAAGGGAAGAGGAATAGGAGCACCCTGTGAATAGTATGTCCTACCAGAAGATCTGAAGATGATTTAGAAATTTTGATCCTAAGAATACTGATGCCTGAGGAGATGATTTCGCATGAATAGCTATTTCATTCTTGGTGCGAGGTGAAGAGTAAGCCGTAAGGTGTGCAATCCAATATCAAATTAATTTCAACAACATCAACTCATCAACATAAGCCTTAACCCAATTCAACCTATGTCTCACTAACCCTGACACTTTGATGTCTCTTTTTACACCCACTATCCAAGCAATCGTTTTCCATCTACCTCACCTTGCGGTTAAGTGTCTATCACTTTATGAGTCCCCTCTCTATGCCAGGGAATTTCTCAACAACTGATGTTGTCAAACCACACAACCTGTATTCATTATTTTGTAATGGACATCCACCCATATTCGTATACAGTTACACACCCCTGCGTACATTACTGACATAGTGATATACAATTATTCTTTATTTCTGGCTTTTGAAATTTCCCTTGGTGGAGGTAATGTTACTAAAGCACCTGAGCTATGCAAGTAGTTTCAGAATGCAAGTGGATAATATCAATTTTCTTTTGAGTTTTTGAGAAGAAGGCAAGAAGCTGAAGAAGATTGTTGGATGGGGCAGCAGATATTAAGGGGGAGGGAGCAGAGGTTTCTTTTGAGCTTTACTGGCTTTAGTGAGTGAAAAGCAGTTATTCCAATATGAGATAGTGTGAACCATAATTGCATTTGATTTCTTCATATTATCTGTTCTTATTTTCATCCGCCGAAGCCAAGGTTGTTAAACTTGCGATCTGAGTCATAAGATTCCATGATTGTACGAGTCCGGTTTAGATCATCAATCCAGATCACTGCTAAGATCGGATTTTCCCGGAATCGTTTCGATCAATGAGGCAACTCTTAGAATGATTGTCAGTGCGATACGACCCGAGAAAGTGGGCATTAGAAAAAAGAAGAGAAATATTCACACCTGAATTGTTATCAGACCCGTGTGCTTTTTCAGCTTCTTCACGGGCGTCGTTCAACATCTTCAAGCGGTAGGATGCCTCTATTTTCCCAACTCTTACCTTTATTATAACTCCTGTGTTTCTCAATTTCTTCCTATCTCCCTTTTTCGATTTGCATCTCCATCTCGTCTCTCTCTACTTCTCAATCCCGACTGTGATAGTTTTTTTGGAAGTATAAGCTTATAAAAGGCTACAGAGTACGCAACTGAGCGGTAAGTTTTTATTTTTCTCAAAGGTATACTCTTTCTTTTT